AAAAGTTCCTTAGATTTGCGTAAAAAACGTTTGCCGACGATTAGAGAAGTCAATTCTGGTTCCAGGAAAGTCTATTGCGTCTTTTATGGCGTCTGTGAAAGGCTTTGTCCGGTTATCCAGGCACAGGATGGAGGCGCAATGTTATGCAAGCTTGTCCTGGGCTCTGGCTGGACTGCCGTCGGAGGTTTCTCTGGAAAGGTGTCGCCTCTCTTTTCTCGGGAACAAGAATTTGTAGACCCAGGGTGAATTCCCTTATCCAGCCGATAAGCTGACAAAATTTCTTATCAAAACAAGCAACAAATAGGGATTCATAAATTTTCGATAATTGTAAATCCAGCCCAAAAAGTATCCCTGGGCAGACCCGTTAAACTAATTTTCCCAGCTCCCAGCCATCCCTCTCTATGGAAGGAAACAATAAAAAATAGAGGAATTTCTCAGCAAAAAATGGGAAAGGGATCAGATCAGCAAGGATCATTTGGGCTCTGGGCTGCTACACTAATCGTTTATTATGATCAACGAACTGAATCAATAAAACCGAAAACGAAGCGCCCACTTCAGGACATGTCATCGTCCTGGTTCCCACTCTCATCCTCATTGTGGTTCATTCCCATTCCCATCCATTGCCGTTCTCAGATCAACCTGTTTCACAGGGTTCACAGGACTGTCCTTTTGTGTGTGCGTTGGAGTGTTACCGTTGCTGGTCGTGAGAAATGAATGCACTGAGGGGTAACAGGTCCTGGTGTTGGTGGTGGTGGTGGTAGTGGTGGTGGCTCCTTGTGTTATGCTGGGGTACAGCATACAGGTATGCAAAAGTCAAATTTGTTTGCTATGGGAATCTGTCGAAGGTGTCTGGGGCTTGCGAGTAAATCCCTCTGATGGGAATTCGCTTATCCCTCCCTTTGTCTGGTGTGAATTTAATGGAAGGAGTGAAAATTGTGGGCGGCAGAGAAAGGAAGAAACCCAGCCATGAAGATGGTGAAGGAGTGACTGATGGTGATTTAAAGAAAGGCGAAAGGGAAAGCTGGATGGAATCACTATGTAGTTGAGAGCTGAAAGTAACACTAAAATATATGTATTACAAAAAACCAAATTCTCAACGAATTTCTAAAGGATTTATAATATATTTATAATATATTATAATCGCCTCTAAAGAAATTTGCTACAATTTGCCCCTGACTATCTTAAATAAATGTTAGTTCCTTCAACTTCATCATTGTCCATCCTTCATTCCTATAATATTAATATAAATTCGCATGAAATTCACATGTTTTGCGATTTTTGCTAATTTCCTGTTTGAGACATTTCACACAAATTTCATGCACTTCCTTCCGGTGTGCGGAACTGGCTGAAAAGGCTGAAAACAGCAAAAGAAGAAGAGCACGCAGAAGGATCTCGGCCAGACAATAAATAGAAATCTAAATTGCAAAATATGGGCCAGGGGCAAACACACACTGCCGAGAGGCCTGTGGGAACCGCGTCCTCAAGCAGTAACCAATTTGATGTGGGCCCACCCTCGCATCGATAAGATCGTTAACCGAACGAGATCTGGGTCTGGGCTCTGGGTCCAAGGAGGTGCTGAGAAAATCTCGTTTGTTGTGGCAGGGCGAAAGATTCAAAGATTTCATTGTTCGCCGGAGAGCATCGGCAACAATGTTTGTTTGTTCAGCAAAACAGGTTAACAGGTATTTAGCCCGGGGATCAGTCAGGATTAAGAGTGATGCCTCAGGATGCGTGCACTAGAGTGGGTGGCCAGGGAACATGTGGAATCCATTGGGAGTACCGACGGAGCATGTACGATGTCCCATAAATCAGAACGCCCTCATGGAAGGCCTTAAAGAACCGTTCAAACTTCATTTGCATTCCACCGGTCCCGAGTCCACACATTAGTCGAGCAATTAAGCAAAGGACGGACTCTACTCAGGGCACTCTGGGAAGAAAAAGGATAATGGAATGAAATGGTAATTTGATACGCGCACACTTATGGAGTGCGTTTCCCAAGGACTCGGATTGCCAGCGTCGACGGAGCCTCAAACAGGTAGCCCAGCGAGGGAGTCCTGTGAGCTCTGCAGCTCCGTAGTCGCAACGAATCGCAACGTAAGCAAACAAATCTACACATTCAATGATGGATCGATTCGGGCCCTCACTACTATCGTCCTGCGGCCGGCGAGCCTGCGAGCCTGTGAGCGTTAATTAGATTTGCACCGAGCGGTGCTCATCAAAGTGCTGGTCAGTGGAAATGTTCGGAAATCACAGACCAGACTCAATTTCGGGATAAACACCTGTGGGAAAGGACCTCACGCAGCCAAGAACAGCGAACATGCACTTGCACACATCTCTCTCCCCAGGACGTTCGTTCCATTGACTGACCTTTCCTCTTCTCTCCTTGGCGTTCCCACATAGGGAGTCCCTTTCCCATTCCCATTCCCATTCCCATCTTCGTTTTCATTGTTATTCGCAGTTCATTCCTTTTATTAATTTGAAGTGCCCGCAACTCTAGCTTGGTTTTCCTTCCGGAAGAACGAACTCCTCCTCTCAGTTCGGTCCCTCCTACCCAGTGCTATTGTCCATCCCGTCCACGGCACTTCCTGTGGGTTAGTTGGACCATGTGGCCAATACAATCTATTGTTAATTAATTGTGCTGGTCAAGGCGCATGGGAAGAGGAAGTGAGTGCCTGTCAGTCAATCGCTGAAGTAGGAACCAAGGACTTTGAAGTCGCCAATTAAATGTTAGCCTTTTTTTTGGCTTATGCAAGTCTCAGTTTCAATATGGTTCAAAGCGTAGAGGAGTAGCTTCCATGGCAGTATAATGGTCTGTCCGGTCGGGGCACCTCGGAATAGCCAGCCTGGAGGACACTGGAGGACACGGCTTGCTTCGGGCTCCCAGCGCCTGAAAGTAGAGGTGTTTCTGTTTTCCCTCCTCCAGGCAATCTTGCAGGAAGCCCATTGGCTTCGCCTTGACCATTGCCTTTAGTGGGGGGAAAGGGACACATCCCAGCTTCGCCAAACCACCAGCGGGTTTAATACCAATTTTCAAGTTTAAAAAGCCGTTAATTTTCTTGCATCGTCTTCTACACGTTTCTTACAACAATTTGACATCGGAATACACAGTGGCGCTACGTAGTCTAGAAGACGCTACGTAGTCTAGATGGCGTCAAATACTACACGTTATATACATATATTTTATGTAAGATGTCGAAACTACTTTAGCTCCTGTTGTGCCCTGTAGATGTCGCCTCTGCGACATTTTTATCTTATATTCCAAATTCTTATAATTATTAAATTTTAAAATGGCATAACAATGTGTACACAAGAAAAATTTAATTCTATTTCTATTTTTATTAGAAGCATAAATCTACCACACATACTACCGTGTACGTTATCTGTCCTCCTCCCCTTCGAAGGACCACCACACCGTCCACTCTCATGTGTCATCCCCTGGGGCCGCTGAGGGGAAGTCCTACATCTGTCGCTTTATGTGGCTCCAAGCTCACGCCTCCATCGTCCCAATCCTTGCCATGTGACTCTGGTCCACTGTTTTTTTCATTTATGCGCCAGAAGGTCTTTGCTTTTCCTTCGAAATTCATTTTAATTCGCTTTTATTTCTTTTTAATTTTTATTACATTTTCGTATATTAGCTTTGACTTTGCTTTAGTTGTATCCACTTTGAATTATTTGCTGTTTGTTTTTTCCCGCTCGCTCTGCGGCAAAACGGGCAAAAAAAAATAGAAGGCGGCATCAACAGCAGGAGTGGGAGTGGGAGTAGGAGCAGGAGCAGGAGCAGGAGCAGCCGCAGCAGGAACAGGAGCTCTGGCCAAACATTTTTTTTGTGTCCAGCATTGTTCTCCTGGCTTATGCATGGAGGAGGAATGGGGGAACGGGGGAAGGAGAGCCCCGGGACTCTGGCGTCGGTCTCCGGGTCCGGTTTTGTAGTTATTGTCCAACGTTGACTGTTTACGCCGAATGCGCCCGGCCACGTCGCGATCCGCGGAGTAGGAAATTAAAAATGGCGAAATAAAGTTAAATTTTTTATGGTTTGTGCAAATAAGTCACATGCTGGCGTCCGGCCACCACCGGCCAGTGCGACAGGACCGATCCCTCTGCCATTCGGGGACGGCGATGCTGCCGCAACCTGATGTGCCCCACGTGTAGCTCGTCGCTTGTTAAGCAAGAAAATAATATTAGCATTAAGCGTTTGTCTCTGTGCCTCTGACAAACGCGGCGCCGTCCATCATCCCCTCCCTTTTCCCTTTTCCTTTTTTTCAATATATTTATTTTACAAAATGGGCGACAAACTTGTCTGTGGCGTGGCTCCTTTTTTGTTTGTGCTTCCACGAGTAGTTCCCGTGTGCGCTCGTCCTCTCTCCCACATGCAGCACATCCAATTAAGCAGCTCTGCAAATGGTCTAAAAAATGAGCAGTGGGTGGGGGTGGGGATTGGCCAAAAGAGTTCCCGGGGAATACGGGGCCTTCGCTCTAACGAGCCAATGAAAATAAAGTAATTATCAAAGGCTTAAATAAAATTGGGGGAAGAGTTTCAAGTAAATGAGATCCCTCAAAGCCGACCCTTACCTACCCCAAACGGGGGGCAAATGTGTGCTATTTATGCTGTCACTTCCATCCACAATTTTCAAAGTGTTCCACAGACTTCAAAACGGGTTTTGGATTGACACACTTGCACTTTCTTTCAATTAGCCGCAAAAGACCCTCGTGTGCCGTCTGGTTTATTTTCTTTTTCGGCCACACATTTGAAGATTTCTTCAAGACCATAATTAACTCATATTTAAAGCAGGAACAGGGCGTGGGTTGTCGGTTGTCGATTGTCGCTTGAGATGTCGAGGTGTTGAGGTGTTGAGAGATAGGTCTCTCAAGAGACATGTCTGTAAATGTAGGCTGATCGCGTGACGGCCACAACAAAGGTGCTGTGTCCGGGGGCATTCTTAAGAGGCTGCCTCTGCCGGGGCACGCTCAGTGCTGCTCTGGACGTGGCCGCGTTCGTGATCATGTGCCGACTGCTGGCGCTGTTGCTGTTGCTGTTACTGTTGCTGTTCCACTCCGCTGTGGCACTCTTCGAGGAGTGCAATCACCAGGTGACGCTGTCAATGGGCCAGAAGCTGCTCATCAACTCTCCCTATTATCCTGGCCTGTATCCGGTCGGCACTTCCTGCCGCTACTCGGTGGAGGCTCCCAGGGATCAGGTGCTGCAATTCAAGTGCGAACTGCAACTGCAAACGGTAAGGGTGGGGGGTGGAGAGCGAGAGAGAGAGACACAAATTCCTGGAAATTTTCTTACCTTGTTGATTCCCGCACACAGCTGTCCACGGACCTCCAGTGTCGAACGGAGGCGTTTCATTTCAATTCCGAGGGCGATGAGGTGTTAACAAGTTCCGAATACTTTTGTGGCAGCGGAAAATTCGAGCGCAAAAGTTTTCTCAATCGTGCCGTGATTTCCTACATTTCTCACGGAACGGCCAAGCCCCCGCCAGCCGTAAAGCTTAAGGATAAGCTTCCGGTGCCAGCAACAACAACAACCACTACAGAGTCGCCGCAAGCTGAGGAGGAGGAAGAGGAGGGGGCGGAGGAGGAGGAGGAGGAGGATGAGGACCTTGGCAACGAGGTGTTGAACGTACTGCAGGATGTAGGCGTCAGCGATGCCCTGGCCTACATGGCCTCCTTGCTCTACGACGAACCAGAGTCCAACAACGATGCTCGCCACACGCCGGCCACAGTTTACCTCCGCCTCTTGCCAAATCGCACCTCAAAGACTTCCGCAAAACGTGCCAAGATTGTGTCAAGTTATCCGCCCCCCTTGGCCGGTGGCCTCGGTGGCGGGCGTTTCTCCTGCCTCGTGGAGGCCCTTGTGCCCACGTGCAACTGCGGCTGGAGTCGGTCGCCCAGGATAGCCAGTCCCACCAACGAGGAGGCCGTCCTGCACGAGTTTCCCCCGATGGCTGGCGTGCTGACGAAGAAGCAGGGAAAGGTCTTTTGCGGAGCAGCAATCAGTGAGTAGTAGAAGACCCCCCCCCCCCCCCCCCCCCCCCCCACCAAGTGGCTCTCCTCTCGATCCTCTCGATCCCCTCTGTTCCAGTTCATCATCGCTACTTGCTGTCGGCGGCCCATTGCTTTCTTGGCCCAGAGACGGGCAGCGCTGCCCTGCTGCGCGTGGTGGTGGGCGAGCACGATCTGTCCAGCATCTACGAGACGTTCTTCACCCGTCGCTACGACCTGGAGACCCTCATCGTGCACGAGCAGTTCAGCCAGACCAACGGGCAGCTGAGGAACGATATAGCTCTGCTGCGGACCCGTCTGCCCATTGCCTGGAGCCAGAATGTGGGACCGGCCTGTCTGCCGCTGCAGCCGGTGGCGGGCGGCAAAAAGCTGCCGTTACCGGGCAACAAGGTCATCGCCGCCGGCTGGGGCACCACCTCATACGGCGGGCCCCAGACCCATCGCCTGCTGAAGACCACCCTGGACGTGATCAGCGGCCAGCAGTGCCGGGAGACTCTCACCTCGTCCGGGGTCCCGCCGCACACGTTCTGCACGTATACGCCCGGGCGCGACACGTGCCAGTACGACTCTGGCGGGGCTTTGTACGAGCGGATCAATGGCCGCCTGATGGCCGTCGGAATTGTGAGCTTCGGCCATGCCTGCGCCACCAACCAGCCATCGGTCAACACGCGAGTGGCCTCCTACATCAAGTGGATAAGATCGAAGAGTCCCGAGGTGGCCTATTGTACGAGTAGGGGATAAGGCTAAAGGAGATCGGATCGGAAATAAACGCCCCTTCGGCTAGAAACCCATGAAAGACTGAGCACAGAACCCACTGCCCCGCCCCGCTCGACTCTTGCCCCGTTTTTGCCCTGTCGTGCCGCGTTAACCCCTAAGTGGGTGTCAAGTTTGTCGCTTTGCCTGAACGCGTTCGTCGCGCTCGTCGCCAGCATCGCCATTCATCTATCAATGATGCATGGCAATCGGAACGCTCCACTGGAGCTCTATGCCACCTGGCTGGGGCAGGCAATGCAATTAAGAGCAAATGTCAACTAATTAACGGTGTGGGGGTTTGTGGCAGCAACCCCCCACCCGGCCCAGTACTGTCAATACAAACTCTTTTCAGTAGCTTCCTTTCAGATAAATAATTAAACGATTCGCATAACAGATGAAGCCCGCTTTTAGGCTTAAAGGCAACGCGAATCGTCTGCCAGCTAGCCTGGCTAGCCTGCCGGATGTCTATGTCTATGTGGTTTGGGGCATCTTTTTATTCCATTTTTAGAAGAGGAGCGAGTCGCTCTCTGTTTGCCGTTGCACTTTTTCAATGCTGCTCGCCTGCGTTTTCCCCTTTTTGTTTTGGAATGTATTGACTGTTGTTGCTCCTCTGTGTGTTTGCTTTTGTAGTTTTGGTGCGCGGTGCATGTCTGTGTCTGGGCCTGGAATGCCTTGTAAGCCTGTTGTTCAATTCACGTGAAACGCGAGCAGAACAAGCCAACGTCAACTGCAGTCTGCGGGCGGCATCAAGTGTTGCACGGGTCTTGGGGGGCTGGTGGCACTAATTGAAAAGCAGCAGCCACTAACAGCAGGCGGGCGGAAGCAAGTACAGATACAGTGAAATTTTGAATTCAGGAAAAGCTCTTTGCCCCAAAGACGAACTTTCGAAGATCTGAAGTTTCCATAGAAAAATCCACTGCATCGGTTATCCCCTGTAATAAGAAAACGAATGCGAAAACCCTTCTGCATTTCCATCCTTTTTTTGGGTTTTTTGCACAGCAATTTCCTTTGCATTTGATTACAAAAATGGCGGCTCCTGTTGCAGTCGTAATGCACGCCTAAACATTTGCGTTTAGTTCTCGTTTTGGGGCAGCTGCAACTGCAGCATCCGCCTAGACTTTGACCATTCATTAGCACGCGTGTGTGTGTGTGTGTGTGTGTGTGTGCGCCGAAAAACTCTAACAAGCTCAAAAAGCAATTTGCAAGAGGCCGTCGAAAAAATTGGCAAAAATATCGACGTGCTGGCTCGTGCAATTGACGTTTTGGGCGGGGGGCGGAGAACGGGTCAGAACGAGGTGGCAAAAGGATTTTGGGGGACTAGGGATTGGGGCCAGTTACATACATAAAACCACGCGTCGCACAAAAGCCGCCAAATCGTCGTCGCTCACAAAGCCCCCAGCAGCCAAAATACAAAATGGCTGCACCACAATAACAAAATCAGTGATGTTCCAAAAAACACTATTTCCCCCAAAAACTATTCGGAAGGGCAATGGAGACAGAAATGTGATGGAAAACGTTTCTGGGAACAGGCCGGTTTACCCTCAAAACAAAATTCGTTTCGTGGTCAGAAATTAGCATCGTTTTTGGGTGTTTTTGTTTGTCGGGATTATGGCGATACCAGTAGGCCAATGAAATCCCTTCGCATCTCTTAAATCACTAACATGACAAAAATCACAAAAGTATCACTTTGGTGATGTGTTCGTATCCCTCAAAATCATAAGTTCCTACATTCATACATATTTCGATTAAAAAACAGACATCAAAACGCATAATGTCCATCTGTCGCGGCTTAGGAAACTCAGCTCTGGGAAAGCTTCTCCAGACTTCCAAGACCCTCGCCTACACCCACTGCTTTAGAGCCAAGTCTACGGGCATGCCGGCACGCCCCCCCCTCACGATGATCAAAAGCTATCTGAAATTGCGGATGATGGAGGCTACGGCAGTGCGGCCGGTGCCGGACACAGTGATCCTTCAGATCATCGACGATTGGAAGCCCAACTTCAAGCCCTACCGCTGCCTGCTAGACGGTCGATACTGTCTGTCCACGTTCAGGGGCAAGCAGAAGCGAAATAGCGCCAGGGCAGATGACCCCAAAGGGGGGCGTCGTGCCCAGCAGAAGATTCTCTTCAAGGACGAGGACTTTGCCGATCTGGAGCTATAGCTGAGGAACGTCGACGGTGGACTGCGCGGATGAGCAAAATTACAGGATAAATTGGAGAAAATTCTGCAGTAAGGCGGCACTGCGCCGTTTCAAAATAAAGGTTTCTGAAATGCAAATGGTTTTTCTTGGGAAAGGGGCGTAGGAAAACATCGAAAGATCTGTCAGATCTTCCTTGACTTGTTTTCTATACAAAAATTTCTCTCTGCATGCACTTTAGTCTCGAGTTGCCCGCCATCTGGCCACCGCTTGCCCCACTTGCAGCTGTCATGTTGGAGGCCCTTGAGAGCGCAGCGCAAAACATAATTAAACAATTAAAAAGGCTTTCGGTGGGTGTGGGTGCTATACTTAGCCCAGTTAAGAGCAGCGCACATCAAAGCCGTAGTCTCGGCGGCGCCTAATTACGCCGACAAGTGCAGTGGATGGAAACGGAGAAATGCAAATGTGCGGCACAAAAAATACATCAAAATTAACTGGCAACAATTGAGAGCGAGAATATGCGGCCGTGGGAGGGGTGGCAAGTTAATTGTGCAACTCGGTGAAAGGAGGAGCCCCGACACGGACTGGGGCTGCAGCCGGGATAGTAGGACAGTGCAATAGACTAGAAGTGGCGGCAGGACCCTCGACCAGCTAGTCCTTGCTTTTCTGCCATTGATTTTTTCTATATTATAAAATTTATGCTACTCGTGCTCGCTCTCTGCGCTTTGTTGTGCTCCACCTCCAGGACAGCACTTCATTTTCTGCCTTTCCTTTTTATAAAGTCCTTTTTTTCGTTGCAAACATTTTTTCCAAGCGCTTTTGAGCTTTTGTTGTCGAGTGCAGCAGCCGCACCCAAAGAAAAAGGCTTGACAATAAAAATTATGAAGCATATTACTTGAGGGCACTCGAGTTCCTCTTTTTATCCCCACCACCACCCCCCCAGGCATCCCTCGCTTCTGTCACTTTTCGTGCTGCCCTTTGCTTGTTCCCCTTTGTTTTTCTATTTGTTTTTGTTTTTCTGTTTTCGTTTTGCTCTTGGCTCAGATCGGAAGGATGCGAAAATATGCCAAACGTCTGTCGCTAGTTTCTGGAGAGCACACCGGCGTGTTAAGTAGCAGAAAGGGCCAAGAACCCTTGCGATAATAATAAACTGAATGACATGGAATTTAGGAGAGAGAAGAGGTGAAAGCCTAGAGGAATGGAGAGCCAGAATTTCTGGCGGTAAGGAGGCAGTCTTCCCGGAGACCGAGTCCCCCCTGAGGCAAGGAACCGAAACGCAAGACACGAGCCACGAAAAGGAGAACCCCCCTTTGCACATCATTTGTTGAAAGATTTTCAAAATTGAAATACCAATTTGTAGTATTTTATTGAACTATTGCTAATTTAGTAGGTACCGAAGATCATGTGGCGCCGGAACTCCGCCCAGCGGTATTGGGCCGAGTGCACTTGATAACGGTAATCACGACTCGGCGAAGCCTCGGATCGCCTGCGATCCCTGTTCATGTATATGAAGGGCGTGTTGCGACGGTACTCGGGGTGCAGGCTATAGGAGCTCTCCTCACAGAACTTTGGCCGTGTGCCAATGTGTCGAGTCTGGGGCACGCAGCGGCCCAGATGGAGGGCTCCGTTGCCCAACAGGCTGGCCAACATTGGGGACATGATCAAACATCTATGATGGATTGTCTAAAATTTTGGGAAATTTCGATGTGTCGTGCCTGAAGTGTAAACGTAACTGTGAATGTGAATGGGTTTATATTTTACCTTGAATTATGGCTCCAAGGCAACCGATTCCCATGCTCCAAAAGTATTCCATTTCCATTGAAAAGTTTACCAATTACTCGTTCGTATTAATTATATATTTGGTAAAAGTCTGCTCGAAATGTTTCCGAAGGAGTATGGCATCGAAGAGAGGGCCGATGCCCAGAGCTTAGAAGGCCGTTCGCCCGTAGATCATAGCATGACGAAACTCCGCCCATCGGGTGCGGTGCGAGGTGTATGATGGATAGGGACTAATGACCTTGCGGGAGATGCCGCCGCCCCGCGGTGTGTTGTATTCGTTTCGCTGGGCGGACACTTGTCGCCGGAGCTCCTCGCTGTTTCGTCTACGCTCCAGCTCATCCTCGTCATCCTTGTCGTCCTGTTGCTGGCGAAAGATGACCTCGCGGACGGTGCCCACCCGCTGATCGTCATAGGGGGCCTGCATTTCGTAGCTCTCCTCCACCAGGGCCTGTGCCTTCCGGTCCTGGTCCGGGTAATATCGCCGCTCATCTTCCGGGGTGGACTCCATCCCGTCCGAGGCCTGCCTGTGCTGCTCCCGCTTGTGAGCTGCGACTTCGGTGTCCAGATCGCCAATGGTGTGCGCGCTCAGATCCTGGGATCGACGTCGCCGGCTCCTGGTCTGGTCCAGTCCTTGTCTGCCACTGCTGTGGCTCCAGTAGCGGTTCTGGTTCTGGTTCTGGATCTGGTTCTGCAGCATTAACTGCCTGGCAGCGAACCAGTCCTCCCTCTCGGGCCACTGCCGGCTGCCGCAGCCGAAATTCATCATCGCCCGATTAATCGCCGCATTGTGCAACGGCGAGTAGCCACTGTACGAGCGCAGGCACAGAGTGAGGACCGGCTTCATCGAAGTGCACATCGATGAGAACTGTTTCACGCGAGCCGGCATTTCGGGAATTTTGCACTTTGCTTCGAGCCAAAAAACACTTTTGTGAAATTTCGTCAAAAATTTGTTTCAACAACAAGAATTCAAGAGAGAATTTGAAAAAATTTTCTTTTTAGAAATTTAGAAGAAAAAAAGATCGAACAAAAAATTTTCGTAGTGCTTGCGAAGACAGCAATTTGGAAACTGTGAGAAATACACACTCCCAGACAGTCCTTCGAAACATACTCAAATGCTGCCTTTGTCATGGACTGCTTTCCATTTCCTTTTGCCTGACACATGACGAACAGATGACGTGGAAAATAAGGTAAGTCTGTGGAAATAAATATCATGATTTATTTATTGCCAAAAGCAATTCAGTTCGGACAAACAAAGCAAGAATAAAAATAGAAACACACAGAACAGTCTTCGACGCATGATTTCCACAGATTTATTAATTTTTCATCAGTGTTCGAGTGGGGCCACGGCTGGGGGCCTTTGACTATATTTTAAGCAATTTGAGATGAGAGCGAGTCTGCAAATTGAGTTAGTACACAATTACAACAACAATTATGAATGCGGTCTGCCATTTTACAATAAATGGAAAACAGTATTAGATGGGCAACACCGTCGTCTGGCCGAATAGGGACTACTCTCTGGCCGGCAAGTAGAACAACGTAGATTGAGATAGGGTATTGGATAAAAGTTTATTGCGGAGAGAGAACCATGCCTGACGGTGTTGTATTTTGGGGCCAGCGGGGTGTGATTGGGGGCTGTACTGCACGTTGTTTAAATGTAGGCAAAGACATGTCACTGCTTTTTAATTTAAATGCAAATTAAGGCCTTTGTCAACACTTTGGCAAACTCAAGACAACGGCGATGACAACGTTGGCAGCCCGAGGCCAAGGAGGCGCCCAGCCGTACGACTAAGGAATTGCTAAGGACTACATATATGCATAGTTTTAGATACACAAGCAATCAATGCTGCACATCCTTAACGCACACAGACCGCTCCGCCCACATAGCGCCACATCCAGTTGAGGTAGGAGGTGATGCGAGTGTTGACACCGATGCCGTAGGGCTGTCCACAGGCCCGTCCGTAGCTGATCACGCCCAGCAAATACATGCGTTCGCGCTGGCGCAGGATAACCGGGCCGCCGGAGTCGTACTGGCAGGAGTCCTGGCCCCGTCCGCTCGAGTCGTACGTGCACAGCTGGCTGGCCGAGATGCTCGAATTGTACTGCTGGCGACACACCGAGTTCTCCAGAGTCAGCAGCGTGGCCTTCTGGAGGGTATTTGACTTGGCGGCGGCAAATCCCAGGGTCCCCCAGCCGGTGATGTCCACGTTCTGATAGCTGAACGCGCTGTCGCTGTGGGGGAGTGGATGGAAGCAGATTTCAGAGCCTGGAAGCACAATACATTTGCGCCACTTACGACTGTCGGACGGGCAGACAAATCGGAGCCACACCCCTCGACCATTCCATGGCTGTGGCCGTCTGCAGCAGAGCAATGTCATTGAGATCTCCGGAGGAGGTGACCGTGTACGCCGGATGATTGATGATGCTGAGGATTCGGTGCTGGGCAGCATAGATCGACTCGCTCGCTGCACAAGAGAGGGGCTTAGGGGGTTGCACCGACTACTCCCTAATGGACCACTCACCCGTGCTGAGATCGTGCTCTCCCACGAGCGCCAGCAGACGACTGGCCACCGGCTGACGGACCGTGCAGTGGGCAGCTGTCACAATGAAGCGATCGCTCACGATCGTCCCGCCACAGAAGATGGGCAGAGTGGAGGCCAGGTCCCTGAGGCCCACCATCGAGGGATACTCGTGCTTTGCCGTCTCCACGCCGTTGGCAACACGATTGGGGTAGGACCAGCCGCAGTCGCAGGCCGCCGGACGGGCCACGGCCTGGCAGCTGAGCCGCGCTCTCTGGCGGCTCTGGGCGCTGCTCGAGTAGTAGGCCAGGGCCAGCGTCTGGAAGTTGGAGCTCCGCGAGATCTGGCCCATGCGGCAGTAGCGCTCGCCATCGCGGAACTGCAGGTCCCCGTCGCGGGAGACAAACAGGAACTCCGAGCCGCACGTATCGGGATACTGGCAGGGGGAATGAGTCGGGGGTAGAACTTGCAACGCATCCAAGACTTACCACTTCGTAGCGACAGCTCAACTGGATCACATGATTGCTGGGAGCCTTCAGGCGGAACCTGCAACTGCTGCCACTCGGCAGGGCCCCCGGAAAGTTGAGGCTGGTTATGTTGATCGCCTGATTCGACAGCAAATTGTAATGCCTGGTGCATTGCTGCTGGCCGGACACTGCACTGAAGGCGATAGCCACAAGAAAACTGAGAAATCTCAGGCAGAACATGATGGAAAGGAAGCAGATGCTGCTATAAATCTGAAGCGCCCACAGAAAACCTTTATATAGGACTGCCTCCAACAGATAAGAGTGAATATTTCACTTGTTTCAAAGAGAAACACAAATATTGGCTACAGATTGAAGTCAAGGCTACTATTTACATGATCTTGAAGGGGGGTTTTTGGGGCAAGTCGCACATTTATTCTTAAAGGCTGACCACACAATTGGTGTTGCCAATCTTCTGGCGTATCCAGCTGATGTGGGACGTAATCCGGGTGTTGACCCCCATGGGGTACGCGTTGGCGGCACAGCTCTTGCCGAAGCTGATGATGCCGAGGAGGAACTGCTTGGAGGAGCGCAGGATGACGGGGCCCCCCGAGTCGTACTGGCAGGAGTCGCGGGCGTTGCCCGAGTAGTCGTAGGTGCACATCTGGCTGGGATAGATTTCAGCCACGTCGTTGTACTCCGTCTGGCAGTCCTGGTTGTTCACCACCATCAGGTTGATCTTCTGCATGGTGGCGGATGTGGGCCCGGCAAAGAAGAGCGTGCCCCAGCCAATCACGTCGACAGTTTGATACGAAAACGTCTGTGTGCTGCTCAAAGATATCGATTTAGAACGAAGGAGGGCTCTCTCAGGGGGGACTCTGGGTACTCACGTGCCAACCGGCGGCAGGCAGATGGGACCCACGCCACGGGACCAGAGGATGTTCTGGGCCGTTATCAGAACCGCAATGTCGTTCTTCACATCGGGCTCGTCCTCGTACTGTTCATGGCGGATCATCTGCTGTATGGCGTACTGCTGGTAGTACCTCGAATTAGAAGCTGTGTCGGAAGAAATTAATGGGTTCAGTCAGCCCCTTGCTTTCGATATCGAAGCTCTTACGGTTCTGTAGATTGTTGGTTCCGGCAATAGCCACAATGTTGGTGGCCTGCTTGATCTGCAGCGTGCAATGGGCGGCGGTAAGGATGTAGCGATGGGCCACTAGCAGGATATTCCAATTGCGGGTTAAAAGGTCACACCACCTGTTCTCAGACTCCCCCACTCACCTATGGTGCCGCCGCAGAAGGAGGGCTGATTGCTGGTCACGTCCTTGAGGGCCACCATGCTGGGAAACTCGTTGTCCGCGGCCTGCTGGCCATTGGCAATGCGGGAGTTGACCGACCAGCCGCAGTTGCAGTTCTGCCGGCTGGTGGTGAGGGTGCACTTGAAGCTGCCCCCCTGCTGTCCCGTCGAGATGTAGGCGAAGACCAGTTCGGTGAAGAGCGACTCCCGGGCGAAGGTGCCGCTGCCGCAGAAGTTCTCGGCCCCGCGCATCAACAGGTCTCCCTCGGGGTCCAGCCAGAAGTTGTCCGTGCTGCACTGGCCACTGCTCTGGGGCAGGCTAATGGTGCACTGCACCTGCACGGAATAGTCCACGGGTGCCACGAACCGGTAGCGACAGGACGTGCCCGCCGGATAGCTGCCGGGATAGTAGGGGGACTCCACGTAGGTCGTGCCCGGACTCAGGTTGTACGTATTATCGCAGCCCTCGAAGTAGGCCAGAGCGACGGGAGCCAGGGCCAAGAGCCAGACCTCTGTGATGATTAAACTGCGGCCAAACATTTTGGCCAGACCTTACGGTTTCGAAGCCAAAACTCAACTGGGCCAGCCCGATAATGCCACCCACAACTAATGCCAGAGACAGTGCCAAAGTTAATTAAAAAAAGAAAGAAAAGGCCACGCTCCAACAGTTGATAAAACAGTTGGAAGTTGACATCAAGTATACGCCTCGTTCGCCCCATTATGCAGTTGTTTAAATACAATGTTAGGCGGCACCGGCCCCCCCTCCGCTGACCTTGGCCAATGCACAGCCTATCCATCTTTGAACTTGGCCAATAGCTGCCCTGGCATTACTCAATTTGCCAGATAAGCGGCACTGCACTTACTGTGGGTCATTGCTGTCTAGTCTGTCATGTTCCAGGCTTTAGCTTCCAGCACCAGATCCACCAGCTGCGCTGCTGGCGATAAGCAAAAGTCGTAGGCAAATAAACGGCTTGTTGAATAATGAGTTCTAATTAAGAGGCAAACAGCGACGATAACATACGGAGATCTGTTCCGTCGGATTCACTTTCCTGCCTCGATTGTTTGCCACTCCACGAGTGGGCAAATACGCGATAAGCGAAAGATAAACCAGATCCAAGAAATCAGCTACCGCTTGTACTTTCCCCGTGCGTATTTTACATTAAATTCTTTATATTGTATGGCATCAATAGCACCATCTTTTATCTTTACAATACCTTTTGTTTGGGGGTTAAAAAAAGAAGCAAATAAACAGCAAAGTTGTATCTCTTAAATTCATACATTTGTGGTACATTTTCATCAGTTCTTGTTTGCAGATGGAGATTTGTTATCAATCTTTATTTAAAGCTGTCATTTTATGGGATTATTTTTGCGTTTGTTACTCTCATATTTGTGCAAATATATTTGTTTGAAACAAAGGAAATGCCAGTTTTCCACTCCAAAAAGGTTTGTTGGTCTTTCATTAACTTTGTACACACACAATACCCGCATGTAAATCTCCTTCGGATCTCGTGGAAAAACTTACAAAAAATGTCTTAAAAATACAATGAAAAGGCTTTAAATTTTGGTCGAAAAAAATGCATTATTGGGGGGATAGTAAAGCAATTATGAAAGGGCTGAAAGGGTGCGGGTAAATGTTGATGAATATCGGGCAAAGTGTCTATCAAAAATTGACTTTACATACGCACACACATGCACGCGCATAGAAAAATCAGCGCCTAAAAGCATGCAGCAGTTTCGGTCTCTGCCGCGCTCGGAGCCATGTAATTATAATATGGCAGCATTTTTATCCACTCTTTTGTTGTCCCCCCCCCCATTGACCCTCCATCCCCACTGCCTCTGCTGTACATAGCCTGGCCATGTCTATATTTTTTAGTGTCACACACAATTTTTGTTGCTCCATTTGAAGAGCTTTCCCATTTGTTTTTCTTGTTGTTTTTTGAATTTTTTTGCCATGCATTTTCATTTGCACTAATTTGACTTTTGTATTGTTGCGGTTCCCCCGTACCCTGCCCGGCAGCGCGTTTATGTGTTAGAGTTTTTTGCTGGTCCTTTTGGCTTTCCACCAATCGCATTTCCTCTGCCACATCTCTGATAGTATGTGTGTGCCTGCGCGCATGTATTGGTGGGTGGGCTGTGCTACGCACTTTTTGACTTTTCGTTGAGGAAAATGCGTTTTCATGCATTGGTTGGCTGTCGAGAGCCGGACTGGGCGTGTGATTGGGTTTGGTTTTGGGTTACAGCTGGGCTTGGGGGTGGGGGTTGGGGGTTGGGGGTTTGGGTTTTATGCTTCTATCTCTCTATGTGGCTCTGTGTCGTTCTTTTCGTCTGCACTTACATATATAAATATGTCTGTGTGTGTGTGTGAATGCATTTTCCCAGGCCGTGTCATTTGATGCGGCTGTGACTCTGTGGCCATATCATTAATTGCCGTTAGCTGGCAAGAGGAACTAGGCACGGCCAGCGTGCAACACACACAAATTAGTGGGCAACACGCTTTGTATAGAAACTACGGCTATGGAAAAAACGTGGGGAAACTGAAACTCCGACAGAAAAGCGGATGGAAACAAAGGAGATATAGCGAAGGCCCTGCAATGGTTGGAGGCCAGGGCATGCATGTTGTATAGGCTTTAATCGTGTTTGATTACAGATGGACTCTACGTACATATGTATATGTATGTATGTTTGTCTACGTATCTATAGAAAAAGTGGGGTTTTTGGTCATATTTCTGAGGTATTAATATACATATGAGGTACGAAAAAGTGTGCAATTCTTACGTTTACAAATAACAAACTGTTTTGACTTTCCTCTCAAATTTTATTGCCAATGAAATGTGGAAAATATTTTCCCTTTCATCCCAACGATGAACAGTAATTGCAGCCATCAGAGACTGTCTCTCTCTATCTCTCTCCCCCTCTCCATTTTCCATCACTCTTGACATTTCTATCGGCCTCTTTCATACGGTACAGACGTAAGCGGAAACACATTCAATTTGCTGCACCTTCAATCACAATAAATCCATACAAATTTCCGTTTTTTTTTTTGTAGAAAACCTTTTCAAATGCAAACTAAGCAAATTTTAATTAATGAAAAATTGCAATTAAAAATGGGGTTTTCTTCCAACTATCCAACACTCTAGCATGCGCCGTGAACAGTTTTTCATTTGCGGCCGTAAAAAAAAGGAGGAGAAAAAACTAAACGGAAGGCAATCCACAAAACAAACAAAAAACGTGCGCCCAGTAAATGCATAAAAAACACAACGCACTCTGTACATACGGCGTATGTACAGCGATGGGTGGTCGGGTCGGGCTGTGGGAGGCGTCATCTAAGCACAGGCTCTGCCGCTGCACAGCTGCAACGCTGCCAGCGTCGCCGATTAACATAAACACGTAAAAAACATTAACAGAGCCACAGCAGCGGCAGCGACAGAGGCAGCGACAGAGGCAGCAACAGCAGCAGCAGCGGCCAACGGCAATGCAGTTAGAAAAAGCAACAAGAGGAAAACTATGGCACGCGGCGGGAGAGGGGAGCTATTTCATACATAGATAACGCGGCGTATGTGTAACGTGCGAGGGAGACGGAGAGAGCCAGCCAGCCCCAGAGCCGGCTCTCTCGGTCGCTCATTACACTCATTTCGCATAGTAGTTTGGGGTGGCGCATAGGCAATTTTCCTCACACACAAGCGCACACACACATACACACACACACACGCATAAAGAAGAAAAAACTGCGCTGACTGCGCTGCCTGGCAGCACCCAAACCCAATCACAAAAACGCGTTAATAAGAGGAAAACGTGGGGCAAAAACTACACACAGAAACACAGACACACGTGACACACACAGAGACACACAGGCACTCGGCCAGAGAGAGGGAATGACTGGCGCCAACCAATCACAGAATTTGTTTACGAATCGTGCGGCAAAAGCAACAGAAAGAAAATACTTGGGGAAAAAAGAAAAATCCACCCACAGCATCGCTCTCTCTATCGCTCTCCATCTCCATCTCCCTCTCCCTCTCTGCGTCTGTCTCTCTCGCGGCACAGTTTTTATTTTTCCACAGCGAGCTCTCTCTTAAGCGGCGCCCGTTCTCTTTGGTGCTCTTTCGCCTGAGTTTTGCCCGTGGATTGAGTGGCTGGCTGGGGCGCAGAGCGAGCGGATGGCTGGGAGACTGGTTTGAGGTTTGGGATGGGGATCGGGGAACGAGTTTCTCTCGATTGATGTTTTAGTTAATATGTTCACCAAAATTTTAATTGAATGCTCCATGTTTGTGAATGTTTGATGAATGCTGGGCAGAGCGAAACGGAGTGGCGCGGAATGCTGGGGGAGGCGGCGAAGATTGACCAAATCTAAAGCGACTTTAATTGGATTTGATATCAGTTTAGTATGCGATTAGAATCACTAAACCTACTCTGAAATGCAAAAATTTTATGAATTCCCTAAAGAGAGGACTGAGTTTATAGGTTTTTATATTTAAAGAAGTATTAGTGGAGCGATAATGGCCAATATCATTGAAGATTCCACTGGATTCTTGACGAACTTTTGGGAAAAACTATTAGTTATTAATTTAAACTGCCGGCCCGAATAGACTCCTTATAATTCCACATAATTAAATGAGACCATCGCAGCCATTACTCAACCACTTTACGACATTCATTAACCTAGAAAGGAAAAATGATATAAAAATACCCATAATGTCGCCCCAAAGAACTTTTCTATTAGCCAACAATCGATTACAAAGGCTTACGACCTGCGTGCCGGGCTATAAGCAGATAGTGTCCCCCCCAGGAGAGGGCCAGCTCCAGGAAGGGTGGAAAGCGAATAAAGGGATGGAAGAAGCAAACAGTTAAATGAAACTGTAAACATAACGCATCAAATGTTAATGTCGCCTAATTGTGTAATTCTGGTGTCGCTTTTTGGCCGCCATTTACATAGGACATAACAATGGAACAGTCCCTCGTAATGGTGCGGGAATTGCCACTAATGAAGGCTCAGAGGAGCGGGGCTGAAAGCACACGCTAATGAAGTAATTACAACAATTAATTTAATTATGAATTAAGCGATTGTTGCTGTGTTCCCGACATTTATGGGCAGTTCAAAGGTTGCTCTGGTCGTGGGGAGGAGGAGTGTTACCTCGAGTTTGTTTGGTGAACATGTTGACAAAGGACAACGAAGGACGAGCAGGTACCAGCCTGGGCTTCGGTTAAGCACAAGGGAAGCAGTGGAATCCCTTTAAAAGAGATAGGAAAAAACTCTGGGCAGTTTTCCAAAATTAATTTAGTAAAATTCTTCGCTTTAAACCAGCAGTATCCACTCACCGCAGAATCAGGAAATGTTTGTACATATTATTCATACGCCCCATGCGACCGCATGCAAACCAACAATCGACTCCCTGTGTGTGTGTGGGTGTGTGTCCATGTGGCACTAATGAGAGCTGCACACACACACACACACACAACTTATTATCCAGATTTTCGCACCTTTTCCGCATGCTTTTGGTTTTTGGTTTTTGGTTTTGTCCCTCCCGCCGTTAATTGAAATATAGAATAGCAGCCAATTAAAATGAAAATTATTGCCACGCATTATGGTAGGCCCCACCTCCGTGCCCCGTTTGGATAGACCTGTGCCACTGTTGATTATTTGTAAATTATTGCAGGGCCAATAACACCGATACCCTGTAGAGCATATGCACCTAATGAAGTCCCATTTTGATTGTTTGAAATGGAAATTAAGACCCGAATCGAGGCATAAATAAATGTATTTAATAGTATGTACATATAGACCCTAGACTGCAATGATAAGAAAAAAAACAAACTTCCACTAATCATATTAATCGCTTATTAGCCACAAATACGTTATCTGATGCGTAATTGCCTGCTAAGTACCCGAATGTGTATTTTTGACTTTCAATCGAAGCGGCCTTCTGGGAAGTGTGGCGGTGATTGCGATGGACAGGCAGTTCGGTCGAAATGTATGCTATCTACACCCTTGGCCGATCAAGTCAGGTCGGTCGAGGCGATCGCCTGTCCGATGTGAGCGACTTTAGGGCTGTTGCAAGATTTATCCCAGTCCACGGGATCGATCGATCCGCAAGGGTATTTCAACTTCGCCGCTTGAAGGGTATTTTTTGTTTGTTTTTTGTTTGGTTATCAGAAACATTGACACTGGCTGGAATACAGATGGTGTTCTCCTGTAAGTTAATCATTTCATAGTAACTAGTAATCTACAAGTACCGCACAGATAACGTCCATTCAACGAAATCGAATTTGATGATTGGGCCTTACAGGTAGGTATAAATAGGTTTCCCCATCGGATCGGGAAGCAGTTTTCGATTAAACACCGGTAGTGGGCCAAGATGAAAGGTGTTCTAGCTACGTTGCTGCTCAGTTGGCTGTCGCTAGCCAGAGCCGAGCCGCACTTTATTGATTGGGAGGTGGGCTTGGGGGAGCAGGATAGATTCAGCATGGTGGACTACGAGCGGCTCATGGATCTGCGTTCCTTGGGCACGGAGTTCTTTCGGCATTTCCGGAACATTTCGGAGGCGGACTCAGAGCTGCTCGAGGGCCGGCTGCCCAGTCAGCAGGACCTGGTGTGCCTGTCAGACATGGCCCAGTTTATGCAGAACCTGACGACGGGACGGCTGTGGGCCCTCAACAGTAAGTGGTATTTTTTAACTAATTCTGCAAAACGCTCGGCAATGTGTGACTGTTCATAGTGATTGATTCGTGGGGAACCATACCGGCTGGCTATCTGAAGGGGAATATCATCGATATGGGCAACTACGACGAGTGCACCAGGGTGCACAAGGCCGTGAGCGAGGCGCACAGCATTCAGGGGAAGTACTGCCTCCTGGAGCTGCCTATTGCCAAGTGGCTTGGCTTCGACATGGACTTCTTGAAGGCCACCAACATGAGGACCGCTGTGTGCTTCCCGTCCTCCTGCTCCGCCGCGCTCATGGAGACGTTTTTGGGGCAGCTTCTTCAGCGGCTGCTCGGTGTCAGCGATGCCAAGGAGAAGTTTGCCATAGACGAGGCGACCTGCCGGACAGGCGAGACCCCATCACTTGACAGCCTCACCATTGTGACCATGTATGTACTGAAATGTTAGCTGAAATCAGTTGGCCGCGACTATCCAGGCTGTTCACCCTTTTCACGCCAGTGTTCTGCTATCAGTTCTGGCTTCTGCGACGATTATCTGCACTGTCTACGACTACCTCCTGTGCGGAGATAAGAGTGAGTGAGAAGGGCCGGACTCTGTCCCAGCCCGGCTAATGTTTTTCCCTTCTCCGGCAGAAACGCCACCGCCCCGTCTGGTCAGTACGTTCTCCGCTCGAGTCAGTTCCCGGAGTCTCTTTGCCATCGTGGACCCCAAGTCGAGTCCCAACGTCATCCACTGCCTCAATGGCATACGCTGCCTGTCGCTCATATGGGTGATATTTGGCCACGAATACATCTATGCCCTGATATCGCCCAGTATCAACGAAAGTGATCTGCTTAGAGTAGGTACCGCTGCCATAGAAATGCCATCTGGGCGGTCACACCCTTTCCAACCCATTCGAACTTCTTGCAGTGGGTGCAGCAGGCCTTCTCCAGCTTCATCATATACGCCCCGTTCTCCGTGGACACGTTCTTCTTCCTCAGCGGGCTGCTGATAGTCGTGGTCTCCCTGCGCTTTCTGGAGAAGTGAGTCCCGCCGTCTAATCCGTCTCGTCGAGGCCGGTCTAAGTTTTCCTCTGATTTGGCAGAACCAAGGGCAGGATCAACGTGCCGCTGATGTACCTGCACCGGTACTTGCGCCTCACACCGATGGTGGCGGCCGTCATTCTCGTGTCGATGAAGCTGCTCCCCCTCCTGGGCGACGGACCCCTGTCCGAGGAAGTCAACTTTGGGGACTATTCCGTGTGCGAGCGCACCTGGTTCTGGACCATCCTCTATTTGCAGAACTACGCCACCAAGGAGATTGTGGGTGACATTGTGGCGCCCGTCGACACACCCTCTGACCCTTGCACTATTTCAGTGCATTCCCCATAGTTGGTATCTGGCCGTGGACATGCAGCTGTATCTCGTCGCCCCGTTTCTGCTGATCGCTCTCTACAGGTGGGGCAAGAAGGGGGCTGCGGGCATTCTGCTGCTGATGCTGCTGCTCTCGTCGTGCCTCTTCGCCACCATTCTGACCAACAAGTACCAAGTGATCTTCAAGTAAGTTTCCCCCTGAGAGATATACTCTTTCCTCCCGTGCTCATGTCCCTTCGCGATTAGAAAAGGTGACCCGACCGGGGAGAAACAGCGGAAGCTCTACTTTCCATCACACACCCATGCGGCACCGTGGCTGATCGGCTTCCTGTTCGGCTACTTTGTGCACCTGAACCGCGGAAAACAGTTCCAGCTCAGCCGCCTCGTCGTGTGGGCCGGCTGGCTGCTCTGTCTGGCCACGATCTTTGCCTCGATCTTTGCCATGTACCCCTACGCCAAGCTGCTGGAACCCTCGCCATCGGTTCTGACGCAGGCCGTGTTCTACACCCTGACCCGCATGGGCTGGCCCCTGGCCCTCTGCTGGGTGGTCTTTGCCTGCATGCAGGGCCATGGTGGACTGGCCAACAGCTTCCTCTCCTCCCCCCTCTGGCAGCCGTTGTCGAGGCTTTCCTACTCGGCCTACATCTGGCACGTGTTCATCGGCGAGGTCAGCCATCGACGAATCCGTACGCCCTTGCATTTCACCAACTTCGATATGGTAAGTGAGTCCCCGCCACTCCCCGCTCTGTGACTAATCCGATGCTCCTCAGATGCTCTCCTTCTGGTCGACCTTTGGCTTCACCCTGCTGCTCTCCTATGCGTTCTACATTATGATCGAGGTGCCGATGGCTGGCTTTGAGGCCTTCATCCTGCCCCCCCGAAAACCCACTGCGAAGCCAGTCGAAGCTCAAGCCGAGCCTCCTGTGGAGTCTCCGAGCGAAACAGAACCTAAGCAAAGCGTCTAGGATCTAGCAGGGCTTTACAGGCTCTCTCTCTTAAGAGTATTCATTGGCTATGAATTATAGTAGTTTTAATCTTAAACTTTAGTGCAAATACAAGTCTCCGTTATACTCGCAGAGTACGCATTTAATTGAAACATAAAATAAGCCAATTAAAATTAAAATAATTCCCACGCCTTGTGGTCTGTGGCAGGCTCCAACTCCCCACCTCCTCTGCTCCCTTCCGACGATGGCAGACAGTTGATAGTCGCTGCATTTATTGAAAATTACTGAAAATGAGCAGCGGGGGCTATGCCACCGTGCGGCTGCAACTGTTGATAATTTGTAAATTATTGCACTGCTGATAAAACGGCTGGGCTGCATATTTAAATACATTTTCAATATGCCCTTAATTAAGTCCGATAATCAGATTTTAATTGCCTCAAATGTTTGGAAATTTAAGAAAACAAAGTCGATCCATGGCCACGAAAGTTTTTCATAAGGGCATTGAGAGACAGGAGACTCTCTTAGGTACCAAGAGATCGATTAAAATAAATAACTGTGCACTGAATTTAGTTCCTGCGTTCCATTCTTGTAGGGTTGGCAGCCCTTTAATGAGTATCGATCTATCGCTAGGGATAGTCAAGGGTATGAGAGGAAGATATATCGATAGCTAAGTAAGAGTTGACTGCGGGAGCGAGTAGACGTGCAGAGAAGAACGTGTTAAGATAAAAGAAACTTATTGTAACCATTATTAAAATAAAGACAATACAACGACGTGTGGCTTATATTTGATGGAGTTTTTGGAGCGGTTTCTTACTCACTTGTAGGGAGCTCACCAAGAATCCCTACATTCTTAACACTTTTTTCCTTAGTTCCTAGCATATATTATTTTCATTTAGCAGGGGGCGTTCCGATTTGCTTCTAGTCAAACAGATCTCCTGAAAGGATCTCCTCCAATGTTTCCATGGGGAACTACTCCTTTGCTCGGTGTGTTTGGAACTGAATGAAAGAAAGAAAGAGCTTCCCCTTTGCTTTTTCCACCTTCCAATCTTTGGGCGTACAACCTATTGCCAAGGATACAGCTAAAATATGTGAAGTAGTGCGTACCCTTTTGAACTAATTTGTGTTGTTTAAAAGCAAGTAATTTTCTTTATTAAATCTGTTCTTTTTGTGCTTCCTTCAACCTACATCACAGCCAAACTCTGGCCGCAGCAACTACTCAAATATCGTTGGATATTTTGCCTAATTGACTACAAGTATGGCAAACCTTGCCCAATTTACACCCCGAAGGCCACGCCACAACACGGACACGATCCCGAAAATGTTCAATGGAAAATCGCAAATTCAATATTTGAGCACCTGCAACACATGCCGGAACAGACCAGAACATAGCAGGGAACAAAGTGTGGCAGGAGAGCGACCGGACCCGGGGGTTTCGGTGAGTCTGTTGAGTTGAAGTTGCAAGTTGTAAGTCGCCTTCTTACCTGGCCATCCCAGGCCCCTGGTCCCGGGTCCCGTCCGTCTTTTGCCAGTTAGTGATGCCTTCGGAAAAGTTTTCCAGGACACCGTTGCCACAGCCCCTTGCGGCTGTCGTCGCTGCATTTCGGGTCGCGCAATTATTTAATGAAGTTATACAATTTTTGGCCCATGTGCTGATCAGGGACACGTGAAGGAGGAGTGTGTGCGATGTGTTGCGGTGAAAATTTCATTGCTGGGATAAATTTTGTTGTAATTTGATTTTTGGTTTGTTGGCTTTTGTTTGAGTTCTCTCCTCGCCGCTCCTCCGCTCTTCACAGCAACTTTGTGCAACGGAATTCAATTAAGAAATGTCAAAATTTTATTGAACACAATGCAGATTCCGAGCTCTGCTTCAGGGTCAGGCCGGGCCGGGAATATCCTCGACATTAATTTAGGCACGCCAATAACCTCTGCGCACTTTTGCTGCATCAATTTTCATTAAAACGCGCTCGCAGATAAAGTCCGGTTTTTTTTCCTACGGTTCTCGCGAAAAGTTAGAAAACCGTAAGCGGAAATGAATCCCATGTGCATAAATACGTATAAATCCAAAAATAAATTGAATTAAAAAAGGCTAGAGAACCAAAAAACAAAAAAGGATACAAAAAAACCTGAAAGCAAAAAAAATGGACAAGTCCAGCCAGAAATTGGAGTGAGCATAATAAATTCGGGCATCAGACTTTGTTTGGCTTAGTCAATGGTCCAAATGGCAGAAAAAAGTGAAGAGCAGTGCTGGTGCCGCTACAGTTGCAGAGCCACTGGTTGGGGGCAAAGAAGCCAGCCAGGAGCAGCAGCAGCAGAAGGATGGAGTCAACAAACTGAAGCGAAATCGCGAATTTATTGTGAAAAGCCAGCCCCCAAAATGGCGAGAGAACCATTCTGTAGGTTACTTTTGTGCGAAAATCATTTGAAATTTTAAATTTCCTTGTACATTTTCCAAGTTCTGTAAGGCACACATTCATTTTGCCTCCTGATCTGCCCAGAAATCAGCCAGCATTTGCGCCGCAACCAAAAAACAAAGTCATTTATCTTATTTTGTCAAAAAATTGTCAACGCCAAGGAAAGGGGAAAGAGAAAGCCCCAAAGTGGGAGTTAAAAATAGAGTAAGAGGTGGATACAGAGATGGAGATAGAAAAAAAAAGACATGGTCTGGCTAAGCAGTCGCTGTCTGGCTTCCTGCTGCCACCATGCCCCATCGCTGCTGGTACGCGAGTCCCTGCGCTTTGTTGACAGCAATTGTCACAATTACAAGTTGATATGTCCTGGCCAGCTGTCCTTGTCCCTCTCCCTGTCCCTGTCCCTGTCCATCCTCCGGCCACGTCCTGGCTCTCCGGCTAAGTCAACTGATTTAAGTGATATTTATGCCAGACGCCGCGGCCAGCGTTCAATGGAGCAAGTGATAAGCGTCAGCAGACCAGAGCCAGAACCAACGCCAGAGCCCCACTTGACGGACAGCTGTGAGAGCGCGACATGCGATGGTTTGGGGATCTGCAGGAGTCGAGTCGCTCCCTGATTAATGGCTGATGCCGGCCAGGGGATAAGGCTTGTGTCCAGGATGTAGGAGTGTCCGCTCGCTGGAGAACAGCATAAATTTTGTAATGTTAACACGACGTAAGACACCAGTTGAAAGTGTCTCTCTAGTGTCTCCCTTCGGGCAAATGTTTTTCCACTAATTTTACCATGTACCCTGATTAAAGGGCGTTATACAAGGGTATATAAGACTTGATCGAAAGATGATTATGGAACATATTACAGGCGAAATTGCTGAATGCTTTCTGGCATCTTTCTGAACTCTTAAAGCAAATTATAAGGCATCAAAGGGGTCTTTTCGTTAGAATTTGGATTTTTTTAATTGTTTAATTTTGTACCCAGACACACGAGACACGGCCAGCTAGTGGTCCAGGCGGTCCAGGACCCTTGGGCGCCCGTTGCACACCCCCTCTCCGCGACACTTTCGGCACTCATTTGGAGCCCCGCAAAAGTTATGTTGTCTCATTAACTTTTAACTTTTGGGTGGCCATTCGCGGGGTTATTTGAGCTGTTACTCTTGCACATTTTTTCCGCTCACATATTCCTCAACTTTGGCAAGGGCTCGACAGCGGACTAGGGACATTGTTAAGGTAACGAGCGCTGTAAAAATATTATTTTTATTGCAAACATACAAAAAACGAGCAAAAAAAAAAAAAATAAGGAAGGACCATCTCGAATTGCAACTAGAAAAAAGTTCTTCTTGCTCTGCTCTAAGCTCTTGGCTCTCGCAGTGCACAAAAAAATGTATAAAAATATATACGAATATTAATTTTAATACAACAGAAGGGCGCCAAAGGGAAAGCACAAAAAAGAAAAGCTAAAATTACATATGAGGTTTTAATTAGTGGGAAACGAACGGAAAAGCTGAGGGGAAAATGCATATGGCAATAATTGACTTAGGGTTGGGGTTTTTCTGTGTTTTGACTCTGTGTAACAAAATACATATGTTTTAGATTAATGGAAGTTCCAGGCTTTTTAACCGCTCAAAGGACACCTAATTGACTTAAATAAAACGAAAAGGCATTAAACTGGTTATTTAAAGGATTTGAGAGACCTAAGATATCGTATAACTATTCAGACCATCCAAACACTAACCAAAAGGCTATGGAAACCCTCCGCACTGTGCTCTACAGTCTTTACCTCCATTCTATCTGCACCCCTGTTTTTTTTTTTTTTTTGCTACATATCCCCCTTTTTCCCCGCTCCTGCACTATTTTCCCGTCTTTTTGTGATTTTTGCGCGGAAATTAGAATTTTTGCTTGCTCGCTTTCTGCCATAGCCAGAGCCGGAGCCTGCCACGGCCGCTGCCGCTGCCGCCCACTTAATGCAATCTAAGCGCAGCTGCTGCAGCATCATTACGACACTCTCTTCATGTGTGTGCGGGGGGTGTGTGTGTGTGTGTTTGTTTGTGCTAGTGTTTGCTTTACTTCCGCTCAGATTTAATTTCGTTGAAGCGAAGGCGGGACCGTGCAGTGGTGCGGAACGCAGGCATCCAACTACTCGTTTGCGCCGCCTGTTTGAACTTTTAGTTTACACTCTTTTTTACATTCCTATTTCAGTGTTTCATCTGCTCTCTTTCGCTCATTTTTTGTGCATTTTTTCACTGTTTCGTTACAGACTATAATTTAATTCTGCTTGCATTTTTCATTTGCGGCACTTTTGGCGTTTCACCTTGCCGCCAGGTGTTGTGAGTTATGAGCACTGGGCGCCGAGTGCAGAGTGCTGAGCGTAGAGCACCGCGGCGCATGCTGAGCTCTGACTTTGCAAATTAGAAAAAAATTGGAATGAAAAATAAAGGGAAATGCATAAAAAAGTTCTGAAAATAGGAAAATTCTCATGAGATTTGGCAGTGGCAAGCAAGACGGGCGTGGAGTTTACTGAACCCAAGGCTGGGAATGCCGCCATATATAGAATTTTGAAGCCATTTTTCAGCCTTTTCGAAACAGAATACAAGAAAAACTAGCTCCTGACAGCGAAGATTACGTATTCGACCTGTTGTGCACTCTTTTCTGCCCTCTTGGCATCTCTTCTTTTCCCATTCCTTAGGCATTCACCTAAATTGACTTTTTCCAAGGCATGCACCTTATA